GTGTGTTTTTCACTTAGCACAAAGCTTTTGAAATTCATCCATGTCATTTCATAAACCAGTAGCTAATTTTTTTTTTGAGTAGTCTTCCACTTTGTGAATATATCATCATTTGTTTATCCACTCACACGTTGGAGGATGTTTGGGTTCTCAGTGCTATTATTACCATTTGTGCACAAGTCTCTGTGGGAACGTAGTTGTTTTTTTCTTTCCCTTATGTAATTACTTAAAAGCAGAGCTGCTGGATCATGCAGTCATTTTATATTCAATTTTAGAAGAAACTGCAAAACCATTTTCCATTGTGGTTGTGCTATTTTGGTTTCCCATCAACAATTTGTGAGATTTCCACTTACTGCACACTTTCACCAACACGTGATATTGTTAGTCTTTTGAATTTAGCTGTTCTACTAGGGGTACAGTAGTATCTCGTGGTTTTCATTTGATTTCCCTAGTGACTGACGATATTGTGCATCTTATCCTTTGCCTAATTTCCATTTGCATACTTCCTTTGGTGAAATGTCTCTTCAAATATTTTGCCCATTTTAACTTGAAATGGATGATAGATCTAAATATAGAAACTAAAGTTATTCAATTTCTAGAAATAAACAGGAGAAAATATTTGTGATTGGGATTATGACAAGGTTTCTAATATAGGATGCAAGAAGTAGAAATCATTAAAAAAAGTGATGACTTTATCAAAATTTTAAACTTTTGCTTTCCTAAAGATGCTCTTCAGGAAATTAAAAGACAAATCACAGACTAGGAGAAAATATTTGAAAAACATAGATGTGATAAAGTACTTATATCCATAACACATAAAGAATTCATACCTTATTAGTAAGATGTGCAACTTGATAAAAATACATGAATGAATCACCTTTAAACATAGCATTAAACATTCTTCTCATTAACTAGTCAAAGAGCTTTAATTTTCAAAGCAGTGATTTATTTTTAAAATTTTCTTAGTTGGCATTTAAAATACTCAATTTGTATTATTTTCTAAATTCATTTAATTTCACTGGAATTTTACAAAATTGTAGAGTAGTGGGTATGTGGTGAGATTCAGTTTTTCCAAATCCCCTTACAGGTGCCTTATCAGAAGAATGCATGAAGTAATGAGGGGCTTCCAAAAGAAGAGATTTCAAGTTGCTCCTGAAGGAAAAGCCAGGAGTTACATTTCATCACAGGCAAGTAAGTAAAGGTTGTAAATGCCAACTGCCTAAGTTTTTGTATTTTCAGCATTTCCTCACTTTAAGCAACTTCATTTTGAAGGAGTAGGGAGTGTGTTACTAAAGTAGAAGAGGAATTATTTGCTGGCCTTAAGAGATAACAATGAAATATCAGATATTTAGATTTCTATAACCCTAAGGATAAATTGTTTTTCCAAAGGACTTTGCTGACCCAGCATGAAAGCAAAACTCTCTGGACAACAATCTCTCCTTAAGGCAATTTTCAAATGAAGAGTAGACACACCTGATTCACAGGTCTCTCCTGACTCACATGAATATGTTCCATATTGAGCAAAGACAATGGGAAAATAATGCTCAAGGAAAGAGAAAATAGTGAGTTTAAGTTAGGTTTAGAGAAGCAAAAGACTGAGAGCCTGATTACAGACATAGAACAAACTTACGGTTACCAGGGGGGAAAGGTGGTGGCAAGGGGTAAACTGGGAGTTAGAAATTTGCAAATACTAACTACTATATATAAAATAGATGAACAACAAGTTTCTTCCCTATAGCACAGGGAACTATATTCAATATCTTGTAGCAACCTATAATGAAAAAGAATATGAAAATGAATATATGTATGTGTATGTATGAATGAAACATTATACTGTACACCAGAAATTGACACAACATTGTAAACTGACTATGCTTCAAAGAAAAAAAAGGCAAAAAAAAATTATTAAGAGTCTGAGATTAAAGATACTACCTAACACTTTTATTGTACTTGCTATGTGCCAAGCACTTTACTTGTATTAACTTACATAGATCAAGTGCTTTGCATATATTTACTTATTTTGCTCTCACTGCAATTCAGGAGGTAGTTATCACACTGTGATCTTTGTTTCACATTTGAAAGTAACTGAGGCACAGAGAGATCTGGTTATTTGCTTCAGGCTACACAGATGGTAAGTGGGAGAGCTTAAATTTAAGCACAGAAAATCTGGCCCAAGAGGCTGAACTCTTAGCCAATAACCTCTGCAGCCCCTTGTGTTTTCACAGGTTATGGAGTGGGTTATAAGTAAGTTGCTACTATTGTTCAAAAAAAAAAATCAGTCTGTTGATGACTTACATTTGAATCAGTGCTTGCTATCTCAGAAATCTCTCCCACTGCATTGCACTTTTAACTTCATGTCTGCTTTATTTATATACATTGCAGAAGAATCAAGACCCTCCAAGTCTCCAAGTAGATGTTGATTAATCCAGAGGAGTGATTCTCAGACTTCACTGGACACATGAATGACCTAGCATAACTGTTAAAATCATGTCCTAGCTTCAGAGATTCAGATAGATTAGGTCTATTTCAGGACCCTGGAACTTACAAGATCTTAGATGTTTTTTCCTTTTTTTCCCTGAAATACTGCCTTTAGATCAATCTGACTATCAGAGCGTCTCACTGACCACACTCTATGTAACACTAGGTTAGGTGCCCCATATATTATAGACAAAGAAATGCCCTGTAAATCCATCCCAGCACTGACCACATAGTGTATCAGCTGCCTGTTTACTTATCTACCTCTCTTTCTGTTCTGGAAAACTTTTGAGGTTGATTCTGATATATGTTTTATTGCTGCGTATCTAAAATCTTTCTAGCAATTTATATATAGTTGGAGTTCACAAATGGCTGTGGAATAATGAAAGACTGAGTGGATGCATGCATGACTGAAAATAAGGTCACTTCAGATCATGCAAAACTTTATCAGATGACTGAATTCAATATGCAAAATTGTACATTTAGTTGAGTATTTGCAGGGATCAAGTGAAAAAGAACTTTAAGCAAAAATGGGGTGCCATGGACTCAGCTCATCTTTGAAGGTCATAGAACACCACTTTAATACATGCAGACGTAGGCACAGCAGCAGCAATGGAAGGTGGTGCCTGGGGGTCTGTCTTACCAGCAAAACTGTCAGCAGCATGGGATTAATAATGTGTTCAGTGTTCACTTTGTATCGTCCACTGTGCCATGCTGATTAATCATAAAAATAGGCTGCTATAGTCTGAATGTTTGTATCCCCCCAAAATTCATATTTTGAACCCTAATCCCCAAAGGTAATGGTATTAGGAGGTGGGAACTTTGGGAGGTGATTTGGCAGAGCCCACAAATAGGAGTAGTGCTCTTATAAAAGAAGCTTCAGAAACCTCCCTTGCCCTGTTCACCATGCAAAGATACATGGACCTGGAAGAGGGCCCTCACCCAACCACATTAGCACCATGATCTTGGATGGAGTAAAACATTGGCATATTTATCATATGAAAGCCTGGGTACCGGTTACTTATTGATACCATAATGCTATTGCTTAATAAACATCCCCAAATCTTGATTACTTATAATTACTATTTATTAGCTCAGTATTCTGTGGGTCAGAAAATTGGGCTGACTCAGATGAGTGATTCTTGCCTTTCCTTCTTGTTTTCCCACATATTTTTTGACCTGGCTTATCTGGAGCCTGGTTGGTCTCCAGAAAGAGAAGTTGGTTAGAATGTGGGCCACAGGTCTCATATCACTAGCAGGATGGTCTGGACTTGTTCTCATGGCAGAGGTAGTTCTCTAAAAGGGCAATCAGAAGCATTCAGGGTCTCTTGTGTAGATTAATTATAAATTTGGTCCCAAGTATCTATTCATGCTTATCTGTAATCCTTAAAATATGAATTTGCTGCTCCCTCCATCAAGAAGTGGATTCTGTTTCCCCACTCTTTGAACCTGAACTGCCCTTAGAATTATATTGGAAAAGAGAATGAGTAAATGTGACGTTGGGCTACTTTGAAGCCTGTAGATAAAGAGGCCTGCCGTGCCTCTGCTAACTCTCTTGAAAACCTGCTCCACCAGGTGAAGAAGCCTGGGCTTGCCTGCTGAGTGATGAATAAGCCCTGCCAAGAGCATCTCAGAATGCCAAGGTACTCAGGTATTGCTATGCCATTCTGGAGCTTTGTACTCATTGTTCGGAGATTCTGTTCAAAGAGTTGATATTTCATAATGCATCTTTTGCCAATTAGCCTTTTTGGTCAGGGGACATGGGCCTGTAAGTAAACACCTTGGATTATTTCCGTGATATGATTATTTTTTAGGACAGACTTTGATCTGCTATTTTAATATCCACTCAACTTAACATATATATCTATAGGAAAAATGATATTTAATGCTAGACTACAACAAGGTAGTTGTTGGAGTGTTTTACTGCACTGTATTCTTTTCCATACATTACTCCTTTGAGTCTTCAGACTGCTTCAGTGTAGATGGGTAAGCAGGCTCATTCTTATTTTTTGATGGTGCTGAGAAGGGTTAATGACTCAATCAAGTCTAGAATCCACAATATAAAATTTAAGAGGTAAAGCATTGCAGAATATAATTCAGTTAATCCAACAAACATTAATTGAGCATTTAGCCATTGTGAGATACTGAACTAGCACTAGGGAAATGAAAATAAGTAAGACATTATTCCTTCATGCTGTTGCAAGTGGCATTATTTTATTCTTTTTTATGGCCAAGTAGTATTCCATTATATATACATATTCTTTTCATTATAGGCCATTACATATATTTTTTTCCCTGAAAAGAGATCTAGTCGGTACAAATTTCTCCTCTGTGCTACATTAGAGTAATAGTTTATGGATGGATGTCCTGTGTAGAAGCTCAGCTGGTGTCTTTGTGTAGGAATGTTGTCCACATGGGGAGAACGTAGGCTTTCGTGAGAGTGGGGGAAAGATGACATTTGGCTTTGTATGCCAAGTGCAGTGTTTAGACTAAAACTACAGGCTTGAGGGGTTGTTACTGTTGGGAAAATAGGTCTGGAAATGGTATCTCCTGGACTTAGATGGACTAGAGGAGGAAGTGGGTAGAAGTGAGGACACTAGAAGGAAGACTATTATGCGAGTGAAAGAGAATACAGGCATCTGATTTAGGGGAATGACAGTGCCCCCAAAAAGGTGCACCAAAATTCAGGAGATACTTTGTGGTCTGGTCAGTGGAACTAATGACTTGTTAGTAGTGTTAGAGGGGGAAGATGTAAAAAAGAAGATAAATTTCAGGGCATGTTTCAGAATTCTGATTATGGAAACTGGATAGCTGATGACCTTGTAAGTCATGATTGAGAATTCAGGAAACGTTGTTAACTTGGAGAGAGATAGGAATGGAAGTGGTGGGGAGAAGAAGTCATTGTGGACATTAGTATTAGGTTTCTTTTGAGCAGCTAGGTGAATCTAGTACAGAGTGTTAAACTGTGGTAAACTAGTTCTGTACTCAGACTCTGGCAGGTGAAATTGGTATTTTGTCATTAATTAAGTCATTTGTGTAATTTTCATGCCAGAAACTTCCAAAAAATTTCACAAAAATCAAATGCTCTTGAGAGATAATGAAAGACACTCTTCTACATTGTTACAATGCTAATGTGTACACAGTGAGGAAAGGCATGGCTAGATCACTCAAGCAACACCACTGCTCTAACTACTCTATTTGAGACATTCGTTTAAAGATAAGCTAAATAAAAATATAGAAAGGTAGTTACAAAAAAGAAAGTGATAGGCATAAATTGATTCAATGATAACTGACACAGCCTCAAACAATTATTGTCTGACCCTGTGTACACTGCTAAAGAAGTTCAGCATTGTCTAGAAACTTGACTTGATGTGTCAAGTGAGAAGGGATAAATAGATGAACAGAGAAATTGATCTTTGTTGGTTTTCTGAGGCAACCTTAACATGTGTCTTCTTGAGTTTTCTCAAGCATTGCCAGTGATGTAGAGTTTACTCTTTTGCAAAGCTACCCATTATATTGTATGGTTTCTGAATTATTATTTCTTCTTTGTTCTAAGGCAAAATTTGCTTCTCTGCACCAATGATCCACCAACCATTTTTCAGATTCACAGAACAATATCAACAGCTGATAGCACTATGTCTATATAATGCCTTCTTGTATTCTTTGCACATCATCTTCTCTAGACAATTCATTCACTTTTTAAAAGAATAACTTTATTTCCTAAGA